AGGTTTGCTTTGCAAGGGAAGGCATTGCTTGAGCCCCAATCAGCTCTGTGAGCTGCTGTTTCTTTTCAGAAAGATTTAATTTTTAAGATTTAAGCTGGTCATCCATGAAGAAGAAAATGAAGTAAACACCAAAATTAGTGCAGTGTCCTAGTTTTGAGAGTGAAGAAGGAATCTATTCTAAGCAGAAGAGCCACACAGATTTTCTGCTGCTTATCTTCTGTGTCTCAGCCTGGCTGCCTGGCCCTATAGCCCATACTTATCCCTACACTGATTTCTCCTAGGTTCTCTTGTTGCAAAGCTTGCTCCTCTGTTGAGAAAATCGGATTCAGTTCTGAGGACGCATTTCTCCTACACACAGATCTTCAGATGGGCCATGCCATCTGCATGTGTCACTTGCCCTTGCTACCATGGTATTGCAAACCACCATTTTACTGTCCCGTCAAAAATCCCCCATGTTTTCATGCATTGAATAAAAGATTATTAAACCAAGTGGTGTATGTGGCAAGGACAGGGACTACTGTGCACTGACTGGCCTGTGGCCTGAGGTTTGTTTCCTTGATCAGTGGTCATGCAGTCTTTGTTTCTTAAAAGAATCCAATAAAGCAGCAACTTGGAAGAGATAAGATAATGCAAAGAGACTTATCTCCTGGCTCTCTAGTTTTTCAGCTCTGCTTTAATTTCACATGTATTCACATTTTGTATTTATGTAGATAGAATTCAGATGGTCTTGAGGGGAAAAGCATTTTCTAGTGACAACTTTCAGCTGACTTCTTATCACAGATCATAGAATCATAGAAAGTTTTGGGTTGGAAGGGACCCCTAGAGGTCATCTAGTCCAACCCCCCCCGCAGCGAGCAGGGATACCATTAACTAGATCAGGTTGCTCAGAGCCCCGTCAAACCTGATCTTGAATGTTTCCAGGGATGGGGCCTCCACTACCTCTCTGGGCAACCCATTCCAGTGTTTCACCACCCTCATTGTAAAGAATTTCTTCCTTACATCTAGCCTGAACCTACCCTGTTTTAGTTTAAAACCATTACCCCTCGTCCTGTCACTGCTGTCTCTACTAAAAAGATTGTCCCCATCTTTCCTATAGGCTCCCTTTAAGTACTGAAAGGCTGCAATCAGGTCTCCCCACAGCCTTCTCTTCTCCAGGCTGAACAAGC